TCTTCCCCCCCCCCCCCCCCCCCCTCCTCCCCTGCCTCACACCTTTTCCTTTCCACTGTCTTCGCCAAATTTACAGAAATTTCTGCATCTTAACTCAACTCCACAAAACCTCGCCCCTGCTGTTCTTTGGATTCATGCTCATACTTTGACGGAGTTTTACACCGGCTGTTAGCTCTCTAACGGGCTAAGAAAGCACAATCATAGATACAAACATATTCATTGAGATTCCATTGTTGGTGAGATCACATATGTTTTGCATTGAAGTACTTGTTTCTTCATCAAATGAACTCTCAGATGACTCAGATTATTATTTGAGACTATAACAATAATCTATTATTTACTGCATCTCTTCCCCCCCAAAAAAAAAAACAATCATCAATCAATACGATTCATGCAATTGTAAGAAATTCTGCGATGATCATAATCTGGCCAAAAATCAACATCAATTTTGAGAAGCCCGAGTAAATGTGAGTTAGAATATATGAGACAGTCACTTACAAGGATGTTGAGTTTGCAACCAAAAACAGAGGACACAGTCTTTATTAACTCTTCTCGTGATGTTTTTGATGACAAATCGCATACTGAACCGGTAACTTTAAACCCCTTGGTCGCCCAGTCTTTCAATTTGTCATCAAGCTCTGCCTGATTCCTTGAACATGTATGTACGGCAGCACCAAACCCAGCAAGTTCCTCCACAATGGCATGTCTAAAATTCAAACACAAACCCAAATTACCCATCAGAAAAATCTTTCAAAAAACAAAATACACAAAAAAATTCTTTCAAAAACCCAAATAACCGATCAGAACAATCATTCAAATATCAAAATACCCAAACAATTCACACATAAGCCCAAGTAATCCATCAGAACAATGAACCAATATACCTAAAAATCTAATACCCAAATGACCCAACAGAACAAAAAACAAATCTGATTACAAAATAATCCATTAGCAAAAGAGAAAAAGAGATAGAGATACAAACCCAATGCCTCTGGTTCCGCCAGTGACAAGAGCAGTCTTTCCCTTAAGACTCCATCTTTCTTCTCTGGTACCCATGTCAAGGGATTTTGAAAGCTGAGCCATAAGATCATCGGTGGCCATTTTTTTTCAGTAAGAATTTTTCTTTCTGAACCAAATAAAAACAAAAAGAACTCTTTTTTCCTTGCTCTGATCTGAAATGTAATACACAAAAGAAGCCGAGAATGATGGAGTTCGAAGGTGGGTCTTGTGGATTTTATAGCACACTTCACAACCGTTTTAGATCGGAACGATGGAAATATCGGTGGCAGTCAAGTCTGGGGTGCACAGTGCGTAACAAATACTTTTTTTAATATGAACGGTTCGGATTGGTAAGAGAAATCTAATCTTCAATATAACAAATACTTTTCTCAATATGAACGGTTCAGATTGGTCAGAGAAATCTAATCTGGAATATAATAAATACTTTTCACAATATGAACGGTTCGGATTGGTCAGAGAAATCTAATCTTGAATGGGGGAGTTAAAGTTTTCTGTTGTTTATTGACTCATAGCCTTCTAGATGCGTAGAAAAGTCATGAATCTAGATAAAGACAGCGTATGGAATGGTTTTTTAATGGGCGAATTACACTTTGTACTCTATAATATTTTAACATTTTCATTTTACATTATCAAAGATTAAAAGTGTTATAATGTGACTCTTTCATTAATTTTTTTGTTGGTGTCAATAGGTTTGATTTTTGATAGAAAAAATAACGAAAGCTAACAGAAAGATCACATTATAAATATTTTTGATATATTGAGGATATAATATAAAAATTTTAATTTTTGAGGATATAAAATAAAATTTTAAAATATTTAAGGATGCAAAGTGTAAAATGTTTTTTTTTAACTTTTTATAATTTCGTGGTAGACCAGCTGTTTAACATGATTACAGATATAGTAAAAATAATAATTTTAGCTTTGTCACGTGAATTGTTGTGTATGTTTCTTCAATACATGTTCTGTCAAAAAAAAAATAATAATAAATTTGATTTTAAAAATGTAAAAATCAAAAGGAATGGACTTTCTTGCACCGCCTTGTTCATATTTTCTATGTCTATCATCATTGGTGCTCTGGAAGGCAACTCAAAAGAAAATGGACTAAATGATAAATAATTCTTTCAAGTCAGAATGAACAGACATTAATGTCACATTGTTAAGTTAAAAAATTGAGAGAATTACGTCCAAATTTTTTGAAATTTGTATGTGTGTATCACTTAAACTTTTATCCCCAATGTGTTTTCGTATATTCGTTAGGAATTGCACTTAAGTCCTCTGAAATTTATAAGTATATAATATTTAAACCTTCAAGTTTAAAATGTTACATTTAGACTAAAAATACTCTAATCAAAGATAGAATATCAAATATTTTAAATTTTATAACTAAAATTCATAATCTATTATATCATTTATTGAAATAAAACCAAAAATAAAAATATAATTTTTTCATAAAAAATTCTAATTAGTATACAATTATACTATCTATTAAAATAAAACTAAAAAATTAAACAAAAAGTCTAAGTCATTCATAGACTCATAATAAAACATGAATTTTAGTCATAAAATTTAAAATATTTGATATTTTATCTTTAATTGGAGTATTTTTTGTTTAAACATAATATTTTAAACTTGAGGAGATCTTACGACTACATACTTCAAGAGATCTGAATGTAATTTATTAACGAATATACTAACTGACATTGACGGCGGGAGTCTAAATGTTACGTGTATACAAACCTCAGGAGATTTGTGTGTAATATTTTAAATGTAAAGGGTTTTAAGTGATTAAGTGAGAATTTTTAGTAGATCTGAATGTAAATCTCTGTAAAAAAATTTTGAATTAATGTTTTATAATTTGTGATAAGTTTTCAGTTTTGTATATTTAACTTAACAAAATTTTAATTCTAACAATTTGAGGTTGATCACGTAAATAATTTTTTTTTAAATTGTACTTTATTAAAAATCATTTTTTTTTGTTAATACCCAAGCTATCATAGTTTTCTTATGACTTTAGTTAATTTTAATTTTAGTCAATATTTACCTCTCGGCTCTCAAATTATCATGGTTTAAAATATCCCTGAGTATGATTAAATTATTTAATAAAGACACGAAACACAAGACATGGGATAAAAATAAGCAAGGGCAAGGCAAAGGTAATGTGTCTTTGTCTGAGCTCTATGGTTAAACTGAAGAGATGATAACATTAGCCGACAAGAACTTAGAGTCTTCAATTAAATGGTTTGGTTTACAAAGTTCACGAGTAGTCTGTGGAGACTGATCAAACAAAGCATCAGTATGACAGTATCCCAATGGGACTTCGGTTTCACTATCAAGGAAATTGCATATATTAAAAAAAGTATGTGACCTAAAATATGGTCTAATGAGAAAGAAAAATTGCATAGGCTTAAACACAAACATGAGAAGATTTAACTAAAATATTAGTGTGTCACTCCTTTCCAACCATCTACAAATTAAGTACACACTCGCATATAAATGTTGAACGAGTTTAAGTAAAAGGTACACACTTCTTTCTCTTGTTAGACCATCTTTCAAAAAAAAAAATTTTTAAAATCTTCTTCAATGTTAGACTCATACCCAAATCAAATAAAGGGAAACCCTTTTTTAAATTCAAATCAAGGAAGACCTTTTTTTAAATTCAAATCTTTAATTGTGAGATTACATTCTCATTTAAAGATTCAATTGTCATATTTTTTACCTCTTTTAAATTTGAATTTGTCTTCATTTAAATTTGAGTTTCTCTTCTTTTTAAAAAAGATTTGTCCATTGGAAAGTTTTATACCAAATCAAATTTATTTACTCTTTTTTTATTGAAATTTGAGTAAGAATTTAGGTCTTTTTTTTTTGCTGGTTAATAAAAGGGGTGGGGGCAAGGAAGAGTGTCTAGCGACCACCTCGATAGGCCCTCACCGGTGGAATCATAAAGCCCCTTACCTCTCCCGAAAATACATTTCGGGATCAAACCTAAGTAGGCTAGTATAGCGGTCAATCACCCAAGTCCCAATAGAAACTCCAAGACTCGAACTCCCAACCTCAATGAGAGGAGTATGACTGGTACTCCACTAGACCATCCTACTTGACGAAGAATTTAGGTCTTTACTGAAGATGCTTGTTTACTTGAATGCCAGAGTGTCTTCAACTAATCAAACCCTAATCTATGCCAATATATTCCTCTTGTAAGAAAGAAGGAAAACTTAAAACAATTATTCAATTCTCAAATTATCATAACTTTTCTCTAAGACTTGATGTGCATTGATGGGACTTTTCTGAAATATTCCAAGATGAAGACACGTGTTCTCGGGCGTCGCTAAAAATCCTGTTAACTGAGATCACGTACCATCGGCTTACAAATTCCCTCGCCCCGAGGTACTTGACACGTGTCGAGTGCGTTTTACGAACCGACACGTATCCTCGGTCTAATATGGTACCTCGGTCTGATATGGTACCTCGGTCATCATGTACGGCTTCCTCGGCTCAGATGTACCTATCCTCGGTACCGAGATGTGCATGTTCTCGGTACCGAGATGTACCCCCGTCCAAGATGTCTTTTTCTCTGCTCCAGTATAAGCTATTGATGTACAGGTCATTAGACTAGGCTAGTATAGGTTAGCTATCATGGTCTCGTTTTACACAATTGGTGTCAGAAGGAACAAGAAGGCAGGGTCCACAGCCAATGAGAGAAGGACACGTAGCAAATTGTGTCACATCAGAGACAGAAAGACCGCATGCCCTTACTGACAGACGACTTGGGAAAACAAACATTTAATTACACCATTCCCTTGATGAGACCGCATTCAATGCGGTAAGGCTTGAAATTGAAAGACAATAAATGTCTCTAAGGCTGGGCATTTATTGCATGCTCCCCGAGTGGAGATCATCAGACAGTCGGCAGCCCGATGACACAGCATTGATTGCTCGGCACTCCGAGCAGTTAAAGAAGGGAAGACATTCGTCATCAGAATCAGTGCGCACACTGCCTGTACCTAATGATCATCTACTGACAAACCTGACAACAATCATGAGCTTTTGAGGTATAAATACTCCTCATAAAAGGCAAAACGGTATGCAACAAAGACTCTGGACTACGAAATATACTCAGTGCTTTCTTCTTCCTCTCCCTTTCAAAAACTGACTTGATCGTCAGAGGGGATAAGCCGGAAAACACTCCGGCGCACTTCTAATTTGTTCTCCTTTGTTCCAGGAACCTTTTCTCAGTCTTACTGGATCATTCCTTCAATTCACGAGGGTCTTCCGTTACCGTTCTAGGTTACCATCGGACCTCGCAGGCTGTCCCAAGCAGCGTGGTTGATCACTCAACTGATCCACTCGAGTTCATCAAGGAAGAGATCTGTTCTCGTTTTTTATATTGTGCAAGATCCTGCACGCACATGCATATTTTTACTTGTACACCATTGATATGAGCCAAATCATTTTTGTTTCGATGAAGATACAGTGAAAGAGTAGAAACATGTGAAAGTAGAAATTTTTTTTTTTTTTTTTCGGGCATCGGGTGTGGGAGGTTGAAAAGTTACAAAAAATAAAAAATAAAAATGTAGTACCCGTTTTTCAATGGTTATGAGGACATAACATATCATATCAACATGAAAGAATAACGAATTGCTTGAAATTAACGACATGGGTGCTCAATGAGATACACGTCATTCTTTGGATAAAGTAAACGTCACTATGTTAAACAAATCAACGCTATCAATGCCATGGGGCTCACGCAGGCCAAGTCAAGCATGGCAGCGCAGCGCCACTGTTGTGTGGGGTCGCGCATTCAAGATTGTGTGCAAGTTGCGGTCCGCACAAGGAAGGCAGTTGCGGTGGGTCGATTGAGCTTCTAGATTTGTAGGACCTTATCTTATCAATAATACTATTGATACCATCTTTATTAATACTGATCGACATATATGTATATTACATGTGAATTATTTTAAATATCAATGTCACATATTAATATTTTAAATATTACAAAATGATATCAACCATAATATTGGTACATACAAGAGTTCATTGCATAATGAAGTTTTTAATTTAAAATATTACAAGCAATTAGCACATAACTAACTTACAAAATTACCAACATTACATATAAGAAGAAAAAAAAATTATATCAAGAAATAAAATGATTAATGACATGTACGATTAGGTCAAAAATTAGAAATAATAACTTAAATGTTGGATCCTTCTAAGGTTTTTTATTAATATTTCTAGAATAGTAAACACTCGATGGATTCTTCATTTTTTGTTGATTGTCCAACAAGATTTTCATAGTTT